AAAACATATTGCTCATCAGCAGGGAACATAGAACCTCAGGAGGCAAGCTAGATAGAAAAGAAGGTATTGCGGCCAGTCAAAGCTGGGATGCTACTAGAATATGACAAAGCTCTAAAGGACTTAAGACAGATCAAGTCAATGAGCAGCTTTGAATAACAGCTGAGAAACCTTGACACAGGACATATTTGCTAGGAATAGGCAGAGAATGAAATAATCTGTCCCTCACTTAGGAAGTGTGAGTGGTGAGTACTGCTATGGATCTGTCTTCTATCAGAAAGGAGATTTGGTTCACTTCAGTGGTGGGTTCCTCCCAGTTCCGCCGAGCCAGTAGCGGTGATGATATGATGTCACCGAACCGGTTCTCTTTGTTCAGGAGCTGCCCGCCACTGCATTATTCTTACCTTTTATTTGGCCCCACCCCCAATCTATTCGCTGCCTCCTGAGGCCCAGCTGATCAGCTAGAAGGAAAAAAACCTGTTTAAACTCTTGCTGCAGGGCTTCAAAGGGCCGCCCTACAGCTGATCAGTGTTAAAAGGCAGTATGATGGTAGACCGGTACCTCCAAAAACAAATGAGTAGACCAGTGCCTGGTAGACCAGTGCCTCCAAAAACAAATGGGTACAGCTCTGCAAGCAGTTAAAAGTCTGGTAGACCAGTACCTCTGCTAAATCCTAAAGAATTGTCACATGACCATCAAACCACACCCACAAAATAAGCCACACCGACAGAACCGGTAGTAAAAAAATTTAGAACCCATCCCTGGTTCATTTGGCATTATTTGAGGTTAATATTTTAATTCTTGTGATGGTATACAAACCAGACCATCCATTCTGCTAAGTCATCTCAAATAAATTCAGAAATTAGAAAATTTCCCATTTAGTCTCCCAGAAAGCAGATTTACTGCTTTAACCACCCAGGAAAATCACCTGCACATTTTTGTCTGTGCTTAGCGCCAGTATTTGCAATGGAAATGACTCCCAAGTGAATTGAAATGACAGCCTAAACAGTAGTCTCTGTGGCAATAGCAGACATAGCTAAACCCACTTAAATCAATCAGCTTACGGCAATCTGTGTCTGGGATCAGACATTCTGCTTTGGAACCATAACCAGCAAATGTTCTGATGCTGAACACTACTTTTTAGCAAAAGGACAAAAGAAAATGATGGGGGGGGGAGAGAATCTCCTTTCTCCCTATCTCTCCCTTGTTCTCTTCTCACTCCCACACATTTATTGAATAAGGGGTTGTTTTCTCCTCACTGGTCTGCCCAAGAGATTCATACAGCTCTTAACATCCTCCTCCTCCTCCTCCTGAATCACAAATTCCTTTCTTCTACACATCATTCTGCATTCTTTTCCTTTCCTTTTTTTACTTTATGTAGCACTATGTTCTCCTGTAGGAAAATAGTAGAGAAAGTACTCCTACTCTCTTAACTTGTTTTTTTTTAAGAAAAAAACCCCCGCATTTCCCAAACATTCCATGTTATCTTCAGCTATCCTTTATTAGTAACCATGACTATCCCATTCCTAATGGTGTCCTATGATGTAACCCAGCCCGTGAAAACTTCTATCCTTCCACTGAAAGCACACAGTCCCACTTCTCACGTCCATATATTGTAACCCCTCCTTGATGTTTTTTCTAGGACCGCTGGTTACACTCTCAAGTTTTCTTTAAAGAAAAGAAAATTCTAACACAAACATAAAAAAGAACTAAAAGAAGCTTCCAAGAAAATATTTCTCAATTTCCCTGTTTCTCCCAATTGAAACAGACTTAGACAGGCTCAACTATAGTTTCAACTGGGAATCTGTAAGCATCCTAGACCAAGTTCCATCCAGAAATGCTAGGGAATTGCTGGAAGTCTGGCATTTAGACAAATCACCTATTAAAAGAACTGTAGAAATAAACCATATTTATACACCATTCAAATGAGACAATAAAAAGCTAAGGAAATAAAAAAGACCAGAACATGTCCTTTTTAACACCAATACTCAAACAACCAGGGATTTACACCAGGCAAACAATCAGTGAAAAAAAAATCCTAAACAAGGAACTACCAATGAGAAAACCACACCCACACCAAAACTGCAAGGGCAAGCTACTGTATATAATACACAGCAATCCCCACACTTACTCACATGATGATGTTACCGAGTTGGGTGACATTTATTACCGAGTTGGGTAATAAAACATCTGCAAGCAAAAAATCAATCTCAATGACTCCACAGTTCAACTTTGAGTTACATGTATCTCTTGCATTAGAACTTCTAATCAAAGCATAAGATGAAACAAGGTGTCCTATTGTCTCAATGTTGTGGTTAATATCGAAGTGTAATGATCAGAGCATGGTCAAAAATCTGTCCCTCTGAAATTCTGTTTTGAGGCTAAACAGAAGGAACTACTTGATATCTAGAAGAAGGAAAAACTCAAGAAAATCTGTTCTGGATAGAACATAAATGTGATTCTGTAGACATATTTGAAGCAGAATTCAAAATGAATAGAAAATTAGTAACAGTAGTCGATCCCTCCCTGCAGATATATACTAATTCATATGAGAGTTTTTGCTTAAAACACAGGGCAAATGAAATAGTTTCCATTCTTCCTCCACGCTTATCAAGATTAGTATTTGCCTTAATGTTCATGGTATATACATTGAAAAACTTATTGTTCAGTAAATATGAAATTCAAGTCATTTATAATTGGGATCTTGGATGTTTCCAAAGTAAGTTTTCCCTTCCTTCTTTTCTTGGATCATCAATAGACAAAAGTGATGGGAAACACAATCATATAATAGGAAAGGCAAAGAAAGATGGATGACACCAGTCAGGACCCATGGTAAGCATGATGCAGACCAGGTCCTCACAATGGCCAAAACCAAAGAGTTATGCTATTAAGCCTTTTGAAGCCAGCTTGATTTCTAGTTTATGCACATGACTCAAACAGCATTAGGCAGCAGTATATAAATTTAGAACAACCTAGAATATCTGTAGAAGAGATATTAGAACAGCCTGCAAGTTTTAGACACTCTCAGGGTTTCTCTGTGATATTTAGAAATTAGACAAGCCACTTAAAATCCTCTAACACTCTCTTTTACCTCATCTGATGGCAATGGCTCTGAAAGATATAGTGTGAATGTAGGACAAATATTTCACTCTGCTGCCCATCTGTACCATTTTGCTGCTGATATAACTGCAGCTTTTTGTAGTGTTGGTCTTAAGAACACTTGTGAAAATAGGCATGGGAGATGATTGTGAACAAGTCTAGCACAAAACCAGGAAAAACTTCAGGAAGGCAAGAGTGACTTATATTTGAACCAGAAATGAGAAGCAAGAAAAGGTGATGAATATAATAGATTGTGAGTAATGTCTTCTGAAAGTTCTATCACAGGTATCTATTACGGCTGTCTTTCAAAAAGACAGAAAAAAAAATAGATAGAAATTGACAAAAAGATAGTTAGCCTCCTAACAGGTGCCTCAAAGAGATCAGAAAATCTACATTCTGGATTGAGATCAAATCCACTAGAAATTTAAATATCTGAAGCATAACCTCAGTTTTTAACAAACAAAATAATAACAATTAAGTGAAGCAGTCTTGGTTAAATAAATACATGCTTCTAATAGCTGTGACTAAGTAGATGCTTCAATCTCTTTCCCTCCCTCTTTCTTCCTCAAAATCTATTTGTAGACAGTGTAAAACTCAGTGTAAAAACTCTTAAAATACCAAGGAAAAACAGCTGCTTTCTTCAATTAGAGCAATAGGAATCATCCATCTAAAATCTTAGGTGTAAAGGAACATTTAATTTTGAACAGGAAGTTAATCTTTGGGTTGCATTTATGAATTTGCTAAAAGAAGACTGAATACAAACTTTTTCAATGGATACCCAAGATTTTTTTTTGCTGCTACTGGTGGAATAAATAAAAACACCATTGATGTTCAGCTGTTAATATAAAATCAAAAGGCTCAGTAGCATACCTTCCCATCCCTGGTGATAAATATATACAAAATGGGATTTGACAGAGTAATAAACAGGGCATTAGAAAATAAAGAAATTTATTATTTTGTTTTGGACTGCCTGAAACATTTATAAGACAACAACGTTATGCATGCAAGTCTGCCAGTTTGGATGCAGACAAAAAGAATCCATTAGCAAACTGATGAAGATTAAATTGTAGAGAGAAAACAAGGTACTTTCAATAGCTTCATTTGCACAAACACAGGTGTCCGGGTACACACACCTATAACATACACACCTATATGAAAGTACTGTTTTGTGGAGATTATTTGGGAAATATGTGACTGGTGTTTTGTATATGCTGCTGTGGTTAGTATAGTTAAATGATTAACTAAAGAAAATATAACTTCCCAGTCTCCTCTGTTTTAATAAGGATGGGCCATAGTCTTTGCAGTTTCTGAAGCTATAACGCTGAAACCAAAATGCCAGCTTCTTGCAGTGTAGCCTTTGCCTTAAAAGCTCAAAATCTCCACAGTTTAAATAAGTTTAAACTTATTTAAACAGTTTAAATAAGGGTAAATAAAAACATCCCTACAATTTTGGTGATATCTCACTTCATCAGACGATCTTATGGGAAAAATGTGTGAAATATGTTAATACTGTTCCAAGTAATCTATACATTACTTTCACAGAAGTTATATTTTTCAGAACGTTGGCTTTGGATTGTGTGTTAACAGATTATAATATAGATTTGATTACAGTGGGACATGACATTTTATTAAATCGGTGACACTAAATGGTTGTAGTTAGTAATGCACATTTATTATCTGCTATCTGGCATGGTTCATTTTGAGGAATCTTGAAAGGTAAGGGGAAAAGTTGCCTTTGCTGTCATAAAAGTGCTCTATGGAACAATGAATTACTTAGGTGTCTATCAAATTTAATCAAGCAATGGTTTAAATAGCCAGCAGATGGCAGTGCCAGTGCCTATTTTGGCTTTCCTATTAAACAATAAAAGCAGCACAAGTGCTGGCTGCATTGCTGTGCCAGAGTCATCTCAGCTGCTTTTGCTGTTACACTTCACTTCACTTCAGAGGCTGTTTACAGAGGTGTCCCTCCTTGCAGCTTGGACTATCACACACTTTTCTTTAGGGAATTCCAAGCCTGGTGCTTACTGGAGATGCCACTGTGAGGATCATTTCATTGGTCTGGAATGAGTCGACAGAGCTTGGAGGTGAGACATGCATGCTACTCAGTGGGACACTGTTGAGCCCACAACTGCATGATTTTGCTTTCCACTTACCCAAACAATACCTATCTTCTTGTAATGCTGTAGCAGAGGGAAGTTCCAGAATGTCTGTTAAGGAATTCATGAAGCTTCTATCAGTAATCAGAGAAATAGCTAGGCTACTGAAATACTGGATGACCAGTTGCAATATAGCATTTTCTATATTATATTACAATTTTCTATTTTTAATTGTGGTGCAGAATTGAGAACTGCTTTAAGTGATGCTCTGCTTGTGTTGTGGAATGAGGACATAATAAAGGATACCAGCCAAAACTCTCTTTCCTATGAAATTACTAAGTGGTATGGAAGTCTTGCCTTATGTCCCTCCCCTTCAGGTGGGAATACCAAACTGAATCAGGAAAAAAGGCTCTACAATGACTGTGGGAGTCTAGCTGGACTCTGTGGGAAGCAGGTGGAAGGATGTAGACCATGAATGACCACTATTTTTTAATCCTTCATTCTTCAGATGTGGTTTTTAGTTTCCCCAGCTTTGAATTCTGCTTATTTTATAGCTCAGCCGTAAAGGATGAATTCAAGGAGATTTACTGCCAAGCAGGTGTCTGTTTTGACCTGCAGTACCAGAGGGTCTTTTTGCCTTACTTTGAGAAACAGTGATGTGTTTTGCTATGTGATAGTCCAGACATCAACAGTTGTTTTTCTATCAATGTTCCTGTCAGCAAAGCCCACTGGCATTCATTAATTCCAGGTATGTCAAGCTTTAAAAAGGGTATGTGCAGCTTCCTTCCAAAAGAGCTACCACTTCTGTTTTTAATACCTGAACTCCTACTGATTCCTTCCCTTTCATTCTCTCTCTCTCTCATTCACTTACTCACTCACTCGTATTACATTGGAGAGAGAACGGTGGCAGTTTATTTGTCAGGGTTGAGCTGGAATTTACCAATCTTAGGTTTTTTGGATTGTGATAAAGAAAAACTTATTCCATCCTAGCCATTTCTTTCAGTTCTCAGTGTTTTGTAATCTTTTGCAACCTGTACTTTGTATTCACTTTGATGAGGAATTTCAGTATATCTCTTGTGCAGACATACCGTTTACATGTGCAAAGCAACAAATGTGATAATAAGCACTCTTTTTATATGATCTCTGCCTGGTTTTTGAAAGAATGAGCATTTCATTCTATTTTTTTGTTTGTTTGGGTTTTATTACAAGGTGATAATATTACATTAAAAGGGAAATTAATTATTTGTACAAAAGATCATCTTAACTACTTTCAACTTACTAACAGATGTTTTTAAAATGTAGTTTTGTTTTTAAAAAAGGCTATCAACCATTATATATTAAACTTATTTTTAGTGTATTTTTTGATGTCCAATAATTCTGAAATCCAATAATTTAAAAGGAGTTTAGGAAATTTTTTTTAAAACTGTTAAATCTCTCCTAAGATTTATATTAAATAGTTTTGAATATCTTGAGGCTGGATATTTTACATTCAGGATACATAGTATTTTAGTTCAAAGTATTATGGCAAAATCTTTTCACACGTTGTTCTGAAATAATGTGAAAATTATCATGTATATCATGATTACAAATGCAAAATATATCATTGTGTATGCACATTGGGGTATGATGTCTGTATTTATCTCTCTGTTTTGTAGTGATGGTGGTAAAGCTGTTAACTCAGTTCAAATACCATTAGCCATAGAGGTTTACTGGATAATGTTGAGGCAATCATCCTGTTGTCCCAGGAACTGTAGACCAATGAATAAAAAACATGAGGGTGGAGATAAGAACAATTTTTTTCTTTGCAAAATAGGCACTGGTGTTCCTCAAAGCAGGTGCAACTCTCCGTCCCCCCGCCATCAAATCACAACAGTTATACCTAAAATTTCAAGCAAGGATCCTATGGTCTTAGAGGTTATCAAAACAAGCAGATGTCTCCCTAACAAGCATGTCTTATCAGTAAAACAAACATTTCTCAGATCTGATATATATCATGTAGGCAGCAAAATCCAAACTTAAATCAAAGCAAATTTAAATGAAAACAAAGTTAAATCTGTCTGGTCTGTTATTTTTCAACCCTGCTTGTTATGATCGCCTGACCCAGCTTTAGCCCTCCCAGCCAGTCAAAGCAGAGTTACCTGCTTTACTCTGATGCCAGAGTAACATCGTAGCTTTATGACTTTTATTTATCATTTGAGCTGGATAAATGGTTTGTAGAGTAACTTCTTGTGCTTATTACTGTGCAAGCATGTCTAAAACAGTGTGGAGGGCCACCAAAAATATTAAATGGGTGAAAAGTACAAAATGGCTAAAATCTGGCTCATAATTCTCTCAGTTTAGTCTATCACACAGGGTTGTTATTGAAGGAATAAAATTAAGAAAATGGTATTAAGAATGTAATTCTCTGTAACTGATTTGGAATTATATATAAATATGTATAGGACAGCCAGTTTGGTCTAATGGTTAAAGCATCTGGCTAGAAACCAGGAGACTGTGGTTTCTAGCCTTGCCTTAGGAATGAAAAGCCAGCTCCATAATTTTGAGCCAGTCACTCGGACATCAAGCTCAGGCAACAAGCCGGTCAGTTCCTGTTGCAACAAACAGATCATCATTTGGTTGATTCCCCAAAAGAGGAGATCCTGCACATCCAGTGGTGGGATTCAAATAATTAAACAACTGGTTCTCTGCCCTAATGATTTCTTCCAACAACCAGCTCACCAAACTGCTCAGAAAGTTAACAACCGGATCTCTCGAAGTGGTGCGAACTGGCTGAATCCCACCACTTCTGCACATCCCAGGAAATGCTAGGAAGAAAAAAAAAAAGTTGAACATCACTACTCATCAAACTGAGGATATCTAATATTTTTCTCTGGATCAATAAGTATAATCAAGAGATATCCTTTAGGATAATTAAATACGAAAGCTTTATTCGGGTATCCAAAAAATGGTCTAGCTTTGTTCACATCTAATATAATTGCTGGTCTGCGAGGAAAAGAAGTTGGATAAAAGGTAATTGGGGTGTAAGCTGAAGTAAGGGCAGACTGCTCTTATCCATGTACCTCTTTTGATATTAAATGAGAAGAAAAATCCTGCTTTGAATGCTTGAAGGGAAATGTTTTGAAAGACAGAGCAATATAAAAATGACATTTAAAAGCTGTATGTCCACATCTTCTTTCTGAGTTAGTAGCATTTTTTTTAATCAGTGTTAGCTTGTATGTTGAAAACGGCTTCTTGATAAATCAGACAGTATTTTATATATATTAATTATTCTTTTAAAAAAATGCTAGACCATACTTTGAAGCTTTCTGTTTTCACTATAATTGTTTATCTACATTTATTGGTAGAGGAGAAGACAGAGTATTTAAAAAAACATGAGGCTGCCAATCACATTTATGTAAAAGCTTCTCTGGAATCTATGATAATGCTTGTATCATCATATATCCAGTCATGGTTATATTAATAACAGGACATAAAAATTGTGTGACATACCAGAGAACAGTCCTATATCATCTCAGTTCTTACATATGTATTGGACTACAACTCCCAGAACACTCAGACAACATGTATAAAATGCATACTAGCTGTTTTCCCTAATTAATCTCTTCATGTGCATGTAAGGAGTAGAATTAACATCTTTTTGAGTCATTAATGGAAGATTAAGATTACAATCTAGTATGCATCCAAATAAAACCAAATTGAATTTATTTATTTATCACATTTATTATTTTTATAAATAACTCAAAGCAGCAAACATATCCAATATTCCCTTTCTCTCCTATTTTTCCCACAATAACTGTGGAATGAGTTGAGCTGAGAGAAAATGTGTGGCCCAAGTCACCCAATCAGCTTTCATGTCTAAAGTGGGACTAGAACGCACAGTCTCCCAGTTTCTAGCCTGGTGCCTTAACCACTAGACCAAATTGGCTATACACACAGAGCCACAGAGATAATAGTACATAAATAGTTTTTATAATGATAATTTTTACAAAAATGGCCTGTAAAATACTATAATACAATGGTAAGGATTGTACAGTCATCGAATGAAAGAGATTAAGGAATCATTGTTTATAATTCAACACAACTATTGTGATTGAAACAGGAAACTTTATAGTTTGTCTAGTCTAAAGTTATGCAAGATACTTTTATATCTTACTCTGTAAACCTTCATGCAGGCTATACAATTAAGTCAGCAGTGAAATGCACTTACCTTCGCTACTGGTTCAGAAATATGAGCATGTGCGCCTCTTCTGCGCATGTGCAGAGCCTTCTGCGCATGATCAGAGGGTCAAAAATGGGATGTAATGATGTCCCGGAAGATGGGCAGAGCCTCCTGCCGCTGACCCTACCAGTTCACGCAATCTTGATAGATCCAGCCGGATTTAACCGCTGAATCAAGTATATTAAATGTTGTATGTATGCGCTGTCTTGTTTTTGACTGACTTTTTAGTTTTGTTCCTTTTTTGTGCTAGAAAGGGAATAGAAAAGATAAATACCTCTTCTGTCTACTTCTTAAATAACCTCAGACACTCACTCATATCTCTTTGCAGTTTAAAAGAGGCTTTCGGGGAATTTCTAACTATCAGTGTATATTTTGCCATATAATCTCTGTTTCAGTTCAAGCTCATGCCCAACAGAATATTCCTGTCGAATAACTGCTTGAGATTAGAAATAGTGATTAAATTTGCAGGAACCCCAAATGATAGTTATATGGCTAAGTCTTTCTATACAGTAGACTAAAAATGTGAAGTAAAATGTATTTCATTTTGCTCATTAGAAGTAAATCCCATTCTGAGATAGTTCTGTTATATAACAGGATAATTGTTCTGTTTTAGGCAGCATTGTAACCATGGATTAATAAAGTCAGAACTCACCTTTGGATAGTGCACAAAGACTTTTCAAAGTGGCATATTTTGCTTGCAAAATATTTTGCCAATTCTCTCTATCTTAGGAAAAGGAAATGGAGCCTTTAGAGATGGCCCCCATCCAAG